AGAGCAACACGCAAGTTTCTTTCTTTTCTTATGATGAGTCTGCGGTTCGAATGAGTGGTAGAATAAAAAAATGTGACTATTCAAAGCTGCTTGTATTAAGTTTATTTGAATAAAGGTTATTTGTATTTCTATTTGAAATTAATAGTACACTTACAAATACAGCTAAAATCTATTTTGGTTAGTTCAGTCCAACAAAAAATACCCACAGAATCCGGACCGAAGGACCAAAGTCCGACACAAACCGAGACATATGGCGACCGTACTCATTCCAGTTGTTTGTGGTACATATAATATTTGCTATCCTATACTAACTCAATGTTCTCAAAATATGTACGTTACATTCACTACAATGGCAATATTTGTAATTTACCGTGATGCAGGAATGTATACTTTATTAATATAATAATTTACTTGGGTTGAGTTTTACTTAGGTCTAGATGGCGCTGTGTCAATTGTCCTGAGATTATTATCTTATAATCTCAGGACAAATCACACAGCGCCATCTAGTCCCAAGTTAAGCTAGCTGAAGCTTGTGTTATGGCTACTAGATAACTGATACATAACATATACATAGATATTTTTTTTTGTAAATACATACATATTATACATAGAAAACACCCAGACCGATACAAACAATCATACTCATGAATACAAATGTTTGTGCCGTGCGAGGAATCGAACCCGGGACCATCGGTCGTAAAGCGGTGTGCTAGACCGCTAGACCACCGAGGTCGTCAAAGTTACACGTAAACAGTAAACACATTTTTGTTTGAATTACGCGTCACAAAGTAGGGATAGTCTGAGCAATCTATAGACCCATTACATCAGCATAACAATTCTTCGTGCTCTACAGGGCATGCATTTGCATTATCATTAAAGGATAGGCTTCAGACTTAGGTAGATTTCATACAAAATCATCTACACGGTTATTACTTCCAGCAATAGTATATCTATAGTTTTTTTTTATTTTTTATATATATATATATATATATTTTCCTTTATATGATTATTATTATATATAATTATGTTTTCCTTTAAAGTTTTAAATTTACATAGAAGTATTATATATCATTTTAAAAGTATTGAGATAATGATTAAGACGGCGTGGTCAATTTAATTGACTTATAGATATAAAAGGAGACAATTCTAGCTTATAATTTTGAAAACTGTCATTTTTCTATTTAATCGACGAAATGTTTAACAAAACATGCCCAATTGACTTGACAAGGGCGAGACAACTATTCAAATGGCGATACGAGACTTATTTCACGAACTTTTATTGTCGTTTTTCATCGTCTGTATAGAGTCGTTCTTTGGTGCTTAATTAAAAAAGCTCCCGCTTAATTGGGAAAGTTCTAGAAAATTTAATTGACTACAGTTTTTATTGGAAACACGTAAGGGAATAAAATCTTTTGATATTATGCTATTGGAAATATTCATCAAAAGCATCTGCTTCTTTCTTATCCCATTTATTTAGGGTTGGCGTAATATGTTTCGTTTCTTACATTCATTCCTGTAAATATTATAGCATATTCAAATTCAAAATATCTTTATTCGTGTAGCTCTATTCAGACAGACTATTATGATATGTCAAATCTACCGTCAGTTCGTAATGATTTCGAGATGAGCTCGTATTCTTTTCAAATTAATATTATACATACTGTTTTAAACTTGACGCGGTCATTATTTATACGTGTAATTAGTAAAAATCACGGGATCTTACCACGTTTTATTGATCACGGGTAAACTGTGATCATGTGGTTGAAACACTACCGAAATATCGGGAAATCAGCAAATAAATATAAAACGTGGTAAGATCCCGTGATTTTTACTAATTATACGTATAATATTATACATGTTTACAATATATATAATAATACAGATAAATTTTTAAATTCAAATTTAGGAGAATAGAGTGACCACCAGCATATGCTATTGAAAAGCAAAAGGTCTAATCAGTGTTCGTAACCTGAACAGACCAGGGGGAGCCAGCCATCATTGCACTCAACCATATTTGAGGGAGCACATCGACTTGGCTCACCACGCCGCCACAAATTTGAACTTTATAGTGAGCATGGCTGTTTCAAGTTACTCCACTACGTCATTTATATACCAATCACTGTTTTCATCCATTACAATATTTAATTTACATTGTTTAAATTACAATATGTCATATAAATATATATGATATTGTAGATATAATACTGTGTGTTTTTTTAATGGATGATAATGAACTGGCCATCCGCTTACGCTGACGGTGTACCAGTGGAGGATGACAAAATGAGCATAACGTTATATCAAAAACAACAACCATTGCAACACAAGCCATTGTGTCAAATTTACCAGGAATTTAACGATGGTTTCCATAGCAACGACATAAAGATCTACGATTAATTTTGTTTTAATTATTCAGAAAAATAAAATTCATTATTCTTATATATTATGCCAATTAATTATATTGTTGGTTTGATATTATATTATATAATATATTTAAATCACATAAAAAAGAGGAGTGAAATGGATTTTTTTTTATTTGACAATAAATTATGAATATGTGGGCAAAGTTATCGCATCAAACTGGACTAAAGATAAGTCTATATTATACCACAGATAACATAATATTACATAACTATACGAAGTTACAATTGAAATATTTTTATGGAAGTATTAAATCTAGTATAATTTATCCTCGTCTTAGGTTTTAATAGACTATCATTATTTTCTATATTTAACTCATAATTAACTAACTGTGTAAAAACCAATTCGACCTTCAATGATACCTATTCTATATTCAAATATGACACATCATACCCAGCTTATTTCGTTGAAGCTAGCAGAAGCAAAGGAAATTCGACTATACAGCCTTGATCGGCAATACAGCCGACTTTACCAATTTTTATTGAAATATTTTTTATTGAAAAAATTCTTAATTCTAGTATAATTTATTCTCGTCTTGAGTTTTAATAGACTCTCTTTATTTTCCATATTACTCTCATAATTAACGTCTAAAAACTACATTCGACCTTCAATGTATTCTATATGAAAGTTATTCTATATTCAAATATGACACACTATACCCAGCTTATTTCGTCGAAGCTACCAAAAGCATAGGAAATTCGACTATACAGCCGTGTTCCTAACAGAGCAAAAGACTATACTATTCTAATACTGAGTTACAATTGAATTCCTTTGTAATGTATAATTCTTGAATAATTTATTCTTGTCTTCAGTTCTAAGACTCTCGTCTATACTACTCTCATAATTAACGTGTAAAAACTACATTCGACCTTCAATGTATTCTATATTCAAATAGACACACCGTGCCCAGCTTATTTCGTCGAAACTACCAAAAGCAAAGGAAACTCGACTATACAGCCGTGTTCATAACGGAGCAAAGTTCCTGAACACGAAAGGATGGGCAATCCGTCATGTTTTCAGTCCATTTGTCGGTCACCACGCTCCATTACTTGCGAACTGCCTTATGAATTATCATCTGCCGCACTAGCTGATCAGAATCTTAATAGATTTATAAATATTTCATGATGCCAGCTACAAATACACAGTAATGGCGTCTGTTGGTATCTTTCAAGTTTCTGCCGTTGGCAATATTTAATATTGTCAAATTTATACTCAAAAGTATTAATTTTCATAAAAGAGATTTTATTTTATTTGTTTATACTTTAGCGCACAAAATTGTAGACATTGCTGACTTTATGTCTGCATGTATGCATTCTCTGCTCATACTCAACGTAGAGATTGTAAGGCAGGCAAGTTTGTGTTATAGAGAAATATTATGATAATCCTTAATTCCTTACTAATATTATAAATTCGAAAGTAACTCTGTCTGTCTGTCTCGCTTTCTCGTGAAAACTATTGAACCGATTTAAATGAAATTTGGTACATAGATAGTCTAAATCCTGAGAAAAGATATAGGCTACTTTTGAATGCTAAAAAAGGGTTGTAAGGGTTTGAAACGAGGTATGAAAGATTGTATTGTAAAATCGTCATTTATGAAGCTAGGATTAAACTTTTTTCTTTGTCTTCTTTGTGTTAGTTTATTAAATATCCCAGTAATATTGTATCTGTGAAAGTAACTCTGTCTGTCTTTCTGTCTTACACGCCAAAACTACTTAACCGAAAAAAGGATTGTAAGGGGGTTGAAAGGGTAGGTGCAAGGTTATATGGGTGTATGGTCATTTTTAAAGCTAGAAGCTTGAAATTCATTTTTTGCCTACTGATTAAATATAAATAAAGAAAAAGGATTTTAAGGGGTAAAAGAGATATGAAAGATTGTAAGGTAGTGTTGTCATTACCAAAGCTAGATACTTGAAACTTATTTTTAGGCTGTTAATTGAATTGTATGGATTTTCGTATCGTCAATTTTATTTCGCTTTTATTGGGCTAGGTCATTAAATATTTTTTAACTATTTACGCGGACGAAGTCGCGGGTACCGAGTATTATATATATATACATATACATATTTATAAATACGTACATAATATACATAGAAAACACCCAACAACAATCATACTCATGAATACAAATGTATGCACCGTGCGAAGAATCGAAGCCGTGACTATCGGAAGTAAGGCGGTGTACTAAACCGCTAAACCACCGGAACCATCGTGTGAGTCATATGGATGTTTATGCGTGTATGTTAACTACAATAAATGATTTTGTATATGGTATATTTGTATATTTGTATATAGTTTGGTTTATGAATGGGATTGTTAGTGATGTGGACTAATAACCCCTTTACTAGAAATGTGCCATGTCAGGTTGACCTCCACGTAGTTGCCCCTGGAAACTTGTGATAAGTTCATTTACCACGGTGGTCTAACTGACCTGACCTCATATTCACCCTATAATCCACCACTGGTGCCCTGCAGAATAAACCGTTAGCAGAGGGTGCACCATTCCATTATCCATAAAGAACTACAAAAAACAAATGAAAATTGACTATGTTAGTATAATAATACAGTGCATTGTTTGTTGGCAGCGCAATCCTGTTTGGACGTGAAACAAGTTTTATACAACGGATACTGCTATCTTTTTTCCGGATACCCGAAGGCTTCCTGGACCACCGCCAAGCAGGTGAGTTTCTGCTTGCTTTTGTTCATTTTCCGGTAATATCTACTGTAGCTTTTTGTAGACAATTATGAACGTTATACCACATTCCTACGTTCACAATAATAGTTTTTTTTTTTTTTCAAACTATTCTAGTGCTGTAGGTCCCAGCTGGCCTTTAAGGTGAAAACTAGTCATTACGTCACGACACGACACGTCACGACATATCAGACAATTATAAATCCACCTTTACAGCTTCACCGAACGATAGGGGAGAGTGCAAATGGCACAAACAGATGACACATTTAAGTGTATATAAGTTGTTTCATGTCAATGTCATTTATATTCATGAGTACGATTGTGTCAGTCTGGCTATTTTCTATGTATATTATGTACGTATTTACAAAAAAAACTAAGTTTTTATATCAGTTGTCTAGTACCTATAATACAAGCTCTGCCTATCTTGGACCTAGATGACGCTGTGTGAATTGTAACTACAACTTAAACTCTTTTAATTATTTACAACTGTATATATTATTTAAATAGAATATTTATGGTTATATTATTATTTAAGAGCTGTAAGTTAGTGAGCTCTTAAAAACACTTCTTTTTTGAGAGATCCCTACCTAACTGAAGCTGAAGCGGTCCACTAGTAAATAAATGAGTATATATGTATGATATTATTGTAAAATATTAATGTGGATGGATGTAAAGGGAGGGGACGCCCTAAGAAAAGATGGATGGATTGTGTGAAAGATGATATGAATAAAAGAAGAGTATGTTCAGATATGACGACCGATAGAGAGCAGTGGAAGAGAATGACATACTGCGCCGACCCTAAATAATGGGATAAAAGCAAGGCAATGATGATTATAATTAATACTATTATATATTATTTTCTATTCTATTATCATGTATTGATACAATAATTATGTACAAGCACATCGAAAGCGCTTATTTTCTGTTCCTTGGAGAAGAACAGAGCTGGCCAAGCATGCTCCCATTACTTGCACTGAGTCTACTCAACGGTGTCATCAATCGATTTCCTGAGCTGGACATATTTACATGTGTTGAATTTTAGCAGAATGCCTATGAATTTCCTAAATAATACGTAAAATTGCAAGTTGTTATTATTTTAATATATTTTTTTGTAAGTGAGCATATTTGGAAACTGTAAGGCTCGCTTAGTTTTGATGTAAATAAATAAATAAATGATATATTAATATAATAAGGTATTTCAATAGAAAGTTTCTGACAATAACAGAGAGTTATTATAATTAGTTCGCGACGCAGAATGTATTCCAGCGGAAATCCCTGTCGTGATTTCAATTTACATCAGTCAACCTCCTGGTTTAATAAAATTTTAATATATCATTAATATTAAACACCCGTGTCAGTTATATCTTGTATCTTTTGCGATATAAATTGTATCCTCGTCTCATACACTTTGATTGTCATTGATGACGTAGAAAATATTACTACTAAGTTTTTTTTTTATTTCTATGTCAATTCAGGGAACATAATATTATTTATTTAATAATATTGGCGCATATTATATGTATATACCTGTCGATACATATAATATCTTACTAATATTATAAACAAGAAAGTTTGTGAGTACGGATGGATGGATGTTAGTTACTCTTTCACGCAAAAACTACAGAATGAATTTTGATGAAATTTTGCAGTAGTATAGATTATATATCAGAATAACATATGGGCTAGAATTGAAAAATATGTAAAAAAAATTTAATATATAATTGGATGAAAACTTACTAATATTGTAAAGGTGAAATGTATGTGAGTATCGATGGATATGATTGTCACTCTCATACAAAAACCACGGCACAGATTTTAATGAAAATTTGCAGTGATATAGATTATACATCAAAATAGTTTCATACAGCTGGCATAGTTAGTGTTCTGATAAATGTCAATCGTAATGCAGACGTAGCTGTGCAAGTCAGTAATGATATAAAGAAAATGTAAATATTGTCTCTGTGGTCACGACACCAAGAGTAGCAGTCTACCACAGTAACGTCGATACATTTTTTTCCTTGACCCTTTAGTCTTTCTTCATAAATGTGGTAATATCTCTAGGCAATAATATTTCCCCATTAATTGTTACCCAAATTTGTAGACCAAGAACTTTGTGTGCCACTTTTCATTTCTGATTGACTCCTCGATTAAGGAGACACCGATATCAAACCAAATTCGGTTTCTTTTTATGCTATCTCAAGATATGTCTATTTGTATGTTTATCTAAATGTCCTCAGGTACATAGAAGACTTATTTATAATTTCGATAAACTTTTTTAACTGAATAGAAACATTTTATCGCCATTACTTATTTGCATGTTCAAAAATGTGTAATACATTCAGTTGTAACATCTATTCATATAATAATAATATCACCTGGATATCCACTAAAAATTATATCTACTAAAAATCCTAGACGAAGCGACGACCTAAAATGTGTTTGCAAGAAATCGATGGATACCTACCCAACGGCATGGCGTTCTAGAGATTTATGAGGAGCCCTATCTTTAATAGAGGACGTAATGTCAGCCATTTGTTGTCCGTTCATCAAATGATGATGATAAGCCGACAGCAAAAATAGAGATGCTCAGTTTGACGGCTTTTATGTCATATCTTAAAAAAACTGAGTGAAATACGACTGTTCTTTTTAGACACTAAAAATGTTTTCCCTATTGATGAACGCACAAACAAAGATGTATTATATACAATACATTATTTGAATGTATGTTGTCTTTTAAAATGAATTTATACCTCTAATTATTAACCCTAAGTTTGATTCGAAACTAGGTTATATAGGATACGTATGATTTTACAACAAACTGTCAGAGGCTGTTCTAAATCTGCTTGAAAAAAGACACAAATATCGTATGAAACACTCCTTTATAAAAAAGCATATTATAAAATTGAGTGTCTAAACGATAATAATGTTTTTGTAGAATATCTGATTATAATAATATCTGATTGCACTATGAATGAGTGCGTAGCTGCTTCTATGTTGATGACTGCATGTCTCTTACTTGTAATTGTGTAATTTATTTCAAATAACATATAGTGTATTCAAAAGAGCAACACACAAATTTCTTGCTCATTCTTCTTGCGTTAAGTCTGCGTTCCGAATGAGTGGTAGAATAAAAAAACATGAGTATTCAGAAATGTTTATTTCAATATTATGTTTAATATTATGTTTATTTGAATAAAGATTATTTCTATTTCTACATATCTAGTTGATTGATAGAGAAAGTAGCCTTGGGTATGTAAAACCGGCACAGTGTGTATGACCGCAATGAGTTATGAAAGCAAATACAGACTAAAGATAGATATAACGTTATACATTTTCTGTCTACCTCGTAAAGAATCTTTATAATATAACTGTACCGACAAAAGTTGTTTTGCCTTAAATAAAAAAAAAAAATTAGGGGTGGACTACCCCTATGGGAACGAAAACTGTGACACGAGAATTTTATATATAAGATATACTAGCTATCCCGGCAAACATTGTTTTGCCATATAAATTAAAATCGCTATTAAAAATAGGGGTTGATGCTAGAAGGGCGAAAATTTAGGGTTGTATGTATTTTTCAATCCTAAATAATAATAAAATGAAAATAGAATATTATGTCGAAAAAATATATATTTAGTATTTAGCTAAGCAAAACTTGTGTTATAGGTACTAGACAACTAATATAAATATGTAGATAGATTTTTTAAAATACATATAGAAAACATCCAGATACAAACAATCGTACTCATTAATAAAAATCTTGGAACCGTGCTAGAAATCGAACCTGTGAATATCGGGTGTGGGACGGTGTGCAAAACCGGTAGACCATAGAGACATTTATATATTTACTCGTAATGATTTTTATTTCATTGAATTACTTGATTTATAAGATTCTAATTGCGTTCTGAACTCAGAAATGTCTAATAGAGGTACAACGGAAGTCTTACAACAAGGGTTCCGGTTGGACCCTTCAATTACGGGACCCTAATAAAGTTACAACCTGTCCCCCTAATTATTATATTTACAGTAATGTACATGCATAAGTAATATAACACAGGCGTACATTAAGAGGAGTGTGTCCATGAAATAACATTACGATGTACGTTTGTACGTATTATTCAGTATTCGTTCTATCTCTGTTCAGAGACCTTCCGTCTCCTCTTACACAAGCGAGATAGCAATACTATCAATCGAATTGTTGGCTTAAATAACGGTACCCAATACTTTACTTACTTATCCTCTTACACAAGCGCGATAGCAATACAATCGAATTTTTGACTTAAATAACGGTAAACAATACTCTGCTTATTTATTTACTAGCTTCACCCGAGACTTCGTCCGCGTAAAATTTAACTTTATTTTTCCAAAATAAAAGTAGCCTAAGTTACTCCTTATTACACCAGAAAATGTCCCGTCAAAATCGGTCTAGCCATTTCAGAGATTAGCCGGAACAAACAGACCGACAGACAGACAGACAAAAATAGTAAAAAATGTTATTTTGGTGTATGTACCGTATTTATATACATATGCATGTAGTAAAAAACGGTTATTTCAATATTACAAACAGACACTCCAATTTTATTTATATGTATAGATTAAAACTTAAATGCATAAATACACAAATAAAGGTGCACATGGTAGACTTAATATCTTAAGGCATTTTCTCCCAGTCAACTATAGGACAAACAGAGATGAATGTGTACTCTATTACAATAAAAATAAAGTTATTTATTACCTTATTCTTAAAATTCCTTATAAAGTCTTTGAGCACATTTTTTTAAATTTCTATACAGCTTTGAATTGTTGAATGAACAAAATATAGGTCATTGTTTCAACAAAACAATCGAGTTTGTCCGTTGCATGTAATTTTAAAACAAATTTGTTTGAAAAAAATCTAACTAATGTGAAACATTGATATTAGTCATCTTATTCTATGGACCAAAATTTCATCGAGTGTAATTAGTTTTTGTTAGTAGGTATTATAATATTTTAATAACAGCACGTTTTGTGTAGAGCGTGATCGGGAACATGCAGCCTTAATTTCAAAGTTATGTTGAAATGTTACGAGGGTTGCACTGAAATAAATTAATTAGATACCTAATATCAGCATTACCAAGTAACACTACCTACACACGATACTGGGGAATGACCAGGGGCAATGTTGAAACGATGGTTAGTGGTCATATATTAAAAACTTATAAAGTAAAAATAAAACGAAACAGTATAATCATTATTAAATATTATAAAATTAAGTCGCTGTCGCTGTCTGTCCCTATGTATGCTTAAATCTTTAAAACTACGCAACGGATTTTGAAGCGGTTTATTTTAATAGATAGAATAATTCTAAAGGAAGGTTTATATATATAATACATGTACACTAAGCGAAGCCGGGGCGATTAGCCAGTCATATATAAAATGTATAATCCCTAGTTTTAAAGTAGTCCTGTATTTCGTAGTAAATAAGTAGTGTAGTGTATAAGTAATTAAGGCGACAAGACTGGAATTCAATATCCGGAAACAGTTATTCTTATAAAAAAAAAACGGTAGTAAGAGATCGACCATTAATCCATTATTGTTTTACCATTAATGTTTTAAGGAATCAAATATCCTCACCGTTGCTTCTCAATACATTTATGAAAGTATCATCTATGCCAGAAGGAATATAGACAGTTTCAAAAGAGTTAGTGATTGCACTAATAAAAGCTTACGTAACAATAACAAACTGATTTTACCTAAATGTCGTTTGGCTAAAGTTAGTAATTCGTTTTATGGCAATTGCGTAAGGTTTTATAATAAAATACCAGAGTCTGTTATAAATCTGCCAGAAAAAAGATTTAAATGTCAAATAAAACAGTTCCTTTGCAAAAAAGCTTACTATAAAATTGAACAATTCGTTAACGATAATAGTGTTTTTATAGAAAAACTTTAAATCTATAGCACTGACAATATTATCTGATTACATTAATAATGAGTGCGTAGCGACTTCTATGTTGATTATCGCATGCCTCTTACTTGTTATACTGTAATTATTTATATAAAACATATGTTAAAAACATCTATTAAAAAGAGCAACACACAAGTTTCTTGCTCATTCTTCTTGTGATGAATCTGCATTCCGAATGAGTGGTAGAATCAAAATATGACTATTCAAAAGTGCTTGTAATGAGTTTATTTGAATAAAGATTATTTCTATTTCTAATCAAAAAGGGGGTCCGAAAAGTAAGTCCACGAAATATCACAAAGGTTTAATGAAATATTACGTGTATTTATTTTTTTCGTTACTTTTACGATTAATCTTTTGAAACTAAACTAAATCCGTGAAGCCGCTAAAGTACCTGTATTAGGATTAGATTAGATTAGGACGTAATCTGAAAAATGAAAGTAACGATCCTGTATTATATAAAGGATCGCTGAGATTCATTTTTCGGCGACGGTTACCACTTACCATCAGGTGTGGCAACAGTGTATTTGCCATTAAAAATTATATAAATAAATATATGAGGATATAGCACAGTAATAATAATAATCACACGACAATTCAAACAGCGCCATCTAGTCCCAAGTTAAGCTAGTTAGATGTTGTGCTATGGGTACTAAACAACTGATAAAATACGTAGATTTTTTTTCGTAAATATCTACAAAAAATTTATTGAACAAAATCAATAAAGTTTTAAATAAATAATAAATAAATAAAATATATAGAAAACACTCAGACCAGACACATTCACACTAATGAATATAAATGTTTGTACCGTGCAAGGAATCTAACCCGCGACCATCGGATGTAAAGCGATGTGCTAATCCGCTAACCCACCGAGGCCGTCAATGTATAATCTTTACACAGTATACAATGAAGTCGCTTTCGTTGTCTGTTCGCTTAGATCTTTTAAACTACAGAACGAATTTTAATGCAGTTTTTAGCAGTAGATAGAGTGATTCAAGAGGATGGTTTATATGTATAATACATGTAAACCCGTGCGAAGCCGAGGCGGGTAGATAGTATTAGGAATCGCACCCGCGACCATCGGACGTAGAGCGGTGTGCTAATCCGCTACACCACCGAGGACGTCAATGTAAAATATATAATAAATTATTATTTTTGCTTCAGGTATGCGAAGGTCTCAACATGCACCTGTCTTCCGTCCATTCAGCTGATGAAGAGCGCTACATCGTGTCAGGCATCCGGCAAAGCAGCGATTACAGCGCTGGATCTGTCTACTGGCTCGGTGCTCATGTAAAGGGAGGGGAGAACTTCAGCTGGGTTGATGGAAGCGCTGTATTGTACCAGGGCTGGGCATCTTATAATGATACCGATGATATTGAGGACTCTTGTTTGGGTGTACAGGTAATTTCATTAAATTTATTGTTTTTTTATACCACCACAGATAACATATACCACTATGGTGGCAAACAAGCATACGGCCCATTAGATGGTAAATGGTTACCGTAGCCTATGGATGCCAGAAACACCATGGGTGTCACGTGCGCGTTGCCGACCCTTAAGAAACGTTGATATACCCTTCTTGAAAAACCCCATGCTGTTGTCCCACGCGATTACTCAAAATAATCACGATTATTTTTTTATTTATGCAGACAAGGGATTTTCAATATATTATATATGTTAGACATATACAGTAATTGTTGTTGTTTTTACTACTTTTTAATATGATTAGATACGAAAAAAGGGTTCTAAGGGGTTGAAAGGCGGGATCAAATGTTGTGTAGATATATCGTCATTTTAAAACTTTTGAAACTTATTTTTTAAGCTGATAATTTAACATAAATAAACATGTCAGACAGAAATTTTATCCTTGAGGGGGATAAAATAAAATAGGGGATGACAGTTTGTATGAAAATTTATAAATTTAGATGCTATAAAGATGAATCTTTTTATATACTTTCTTTCTTTTTTTTTTTAATTAAACTTTTTATTTTTTATTTTGTCGAGTTCACTATTCTACGCGGACGAAGTCGCATGCACAGCTAGTTTACCATAAAATTATTCGTGTTAAGACCCGGTTAACTATATAAATTATGTCCTGATATATGTATTTAGACGACTTCGGTGGTCTAGCGGTCTAGCACACCGCCTTACCTCCAATGGTCGCGGGTTCGATTCCTCGCACGGCACAAACATTTGTATTCATGAGTATGACTGTTTGTATCGGTCTGAGTGTTTTCTATGTATAATATGTATGTATTTACGAAAAAAAATATCTATGTACTAGTATCAGTTATCTAGTACCCGTAACACAAGCTCTAAATAGCTTAACTTGGGACTAGATGGCGCTGTGTGAATTTTATTATATTATTTCCTGAGATTATTGTTATTATATTATTATTATTTATGTGTTCAGTGGAAATCATCTCCAGTGCCGTCTCAGCCAAGCGGCTTGTACTGGACCCTGCACAAGTGTACATCAACAGGTGGTTACGTGTGCAAACGCCGATTAAACCCTGAAAATATCGTGAAGAACAGGACCGTGGAAGCGACGTCAGGTGATAGAATAGAATAGAAAATCATTTATTCAAAACTTACATTAATATTCATCACATTTTTCTTCTTCAGCTCATTCTGATAGCTGTCTCATTACAAGAAGATTGAGCTAGAAACTTGCGTGTTGCTCTTTTAAATAATTTACTTGTTACTTTACATTTTTAAATTCAAATCTGTGAATACAATGGTTTTAACCTATACTAATATTATAAAGGGTATATATTTGTTTTTGTACGTTTATAACGTATAAACTCACTAACTATTGAACAGATTTTAATCATTCTTTCAAGAAATTAAGGTAACAAGCCTGGAATTTATATCCGGGAATAGGTGTTATTAATAAAAAAAATCATTCTTTCAACATTAGAATGATATACTGTTCCTGGCAATCAATAGAATATATTTATTAAAAGAAATATTTAATACCATAGGTGGCAAACAAGCGTACGACCCATCTGATGGTAAACAGTTACCATAGCCTATAGATGCCTGAAACACCACGGAGTTACGTGCACGTTTGCGACCCTAATTAGAATCTAACGATAACTTCAATAATGTAACCCAAAATGTAAAAATGTCTACCCCTACAAAGTCGGGACGGGCCGCGTTCTAAATATATATAACTCAAGGGTGACTGACGTAGTGATCTATCAACGCACAGCCCAAACTACTGGACGGATCGGGCTGAAATTTGGCATGCAGGTAGATGTTATGACGTAGGCGTCCGCTAAGAAAGGATTTTGATTAATTCTATAGGATAAAATAGGGGATGGAAGTTTGTATGAAACTTTGTCAATTTTAAACCGATCGGACTGAGACTTTGCATGCATAAAGCTACTATGACGTAGGCATCCCCTAGGAAAGGATTTTGATAAATTTCACCCCTAAGGGGATAAATTAACGCGAGCGTAGCCGCGGGCAAAAGCTAGTGTTATTTATATATATGAAACGCAAAAATGTTTCTCCTTATGTTCATTAGATATTGAAACTATTCAACCGATGTTTATGTTTATACCAATGTTTAGCTTGGGACTAGATGGCGCTGTGTAAATTACCCAGAGATATTATAATGTCACAAAACCGATTTAATATGGAAGGCAGTGTTGTGATTGTGGTTTTAGACCACATATTTAACAGCCTCGATGGTCTAGCGGTTTAGGACACCGCTGTACAACCGATGGTCGCACGGTCTGGGCATTTTCTATACATATTATGTTTGTTTTGTACCTACAAAAACAAAACGTAACGTAATATAAGTATTTCTATCATAACAGAAACTCTGCTTAGTAACGTAACAGTGCCCATAACAGAAACTCTGCTCAGTTTGGAACTAGATGGCGGTTTGTGAATTGTCCAAGAACATTATTACTAGATTTTTTACTTATAATTAATAAATATATACCTGATCAATACAATCTTTTACTGTTTGAAATACACACATCATACTACTATGTTAATATATGATATACAAAAATAAAAAGGTCATACAGGCCTTTCAAGTGGAATCAGTATTTTTGGACCTCAAGTTAAAGTCTAATAAACCGATACCCGACTTATAACCGATTTAATTTTGATGCATCGTCGGGGCGCTTTGGACTGGAAAGGCCGGAACATGCTCGCTAAAAGTATAAAAAAAAAAAAAAAAAGAAAGGGAGGGAAAAAAGAAGGAAGAAAGGAGAAAAGGGGAAAGGGAAGTGAAAAAGGGAAAAAAAAAATTGCCGATTTACTACAAAAAGTGAACTGTGAAATTAAACAATCAATAATTAAACAAAACCTGGACTATAACAAATAGTGAACTTTGAAAATAGTGTTAAAATAAGAATTCATATATGTAATTGTATATGCAGTGTAAGAATTCATAATGTGTATTGTTACATTATGAATTCTTACATTGCACAATGTAATGAAAACTGTGAAATTAGTAGTAGTGTAAGATTTATATAATTGTATATGCATATTGATAAATCTAATCTTCCAAATAAAGATGGGTGACACTGCATGTTGTCAACTCACCCGGCCGGCCAGCGGTGGTTCTGGGCCAGACGGATAAGGTCTGCCTCGGTGTCACTGTTAGGCAAATTGTAACATCTCGGCTGGAGTTGTACAAAAATGGAAATTAAATAAATATTATAATATTAAAGTAAATTAAAAAAGGCACGGACGAATATGTCTGTGGAAAAATGTATTTAAATATAAAAAAAAAAACCGATTTAATTCGAAAACCAAATAATAGCTATAATTTATACAGGTGTATTGAGCAGTCCGAACCACCCAAACTTGTATGACAACGATCTGGACTATTGGGTACACGTGGTGGGTCCGGATGACACTCGTCTCGTATTCATTTTCCGGACCATAGAGTTGGAGTATCAAAAAGACTGTCTATACGACTACATAGAGGTATGTTATTTAACTTTTTATATTGACGGCCTCGGTGGCATTATAGTTTAGCACTGCTTTAATTGCGATGGTCGCGGGTTCGATTCCTCGCACGGTACTAACATTTGTATTCCTAGGTATGATTGTGTGTACAGAAAACACCCAGAGTGGTTTCTATATTATACTAGCTGACACCGCAAAAGATGTTTTACCGTATATTTTAAAATCGGTATTAAAAAATAGGGGTTCGTGATAGAAGGATGAAAATTTAGGGTTGTATGTATTTGAAATGATACATTATAATAACAATTTTAGGAGTGGACAACCCTTATCACTTATGGGTATGAGTAGCCAATTCTCAGACCTACTGAATACCCATATAAAATTTGATAAAAATCAGTCAATCCCTTTCGCAGGAGTATGGTAACTAACATTTTGACACGAGAATTTTATATGTAAGATATTTACAAAATTATATATATATATATATATAAGTATTTATATCAGTTGTCTACTATTTTTATACTGGTTGTTGCTTGTCGAATGCTTTCAACAATAAGGCCGCCTATTCGTTGTAATTATACCTGTGTTCTTTAGTACACTGTACATTACAAATAGTCTATTTATTTATATTTTATAACAATGCTTAAAATATACATAAATACATTAAATTAATAATAGAATTATTACTTATACCACTGCGTTTGTCACATATTAAAACTTTGAAAACTTTTCTATAATTTGTACATTTAACATCGACATATCAGTATGTGGGTATACTATAAATTTAACTATATATGTTCAGTCGTATACTTACATGTATATTTAATATATATTTTATATAATTATATCACATCATAAGCCTGTTGCACAAAATTATAATACATTTTAAATTTACTACATAAACAAAGAACCAACCTAATGCTTTCTAACTATAATTATTAATTACTTGTCTTAATTTTTTCATAGCAAAGATAAAGTAAAAGGCGATTAAAAATTTTACAGCTACGCGACGTAAGGAACACCAAATCATCGAGGTACTGTGGGTCTATGGGCGAGACGAGATGGGTGGCCAGCACCAATAAAGCTATCTTACATTTCCACTCCGATTATAAGTAAGTGCTTACAATATTACTAAAAATATTCACAACTAAAAAAATCTGTATTTTTTTTAATGTTTTAATTAAAATTTGATATTGTGCCTACACTTGTAATATTTCTGTCAAGAATCGGCATCCTTCCATCTGTATACGTCTCCACATAACTTACATTGAAGTCCAGTCTTAATCCAGTTGCATAACGAATCATCCTTGAAGGTTCACTTTCAATCTTGTAGACAGTACTGTCGTATCAATTATACGGGGCCCCCGGGTCCCACAGGCCCCCCAACGTGCGTAAGCAAAAATTAACTTATTTGTTTGTAAAAATTTTGGAAAAGATGATTTACAATTATAGTGAATAAATATTTCTTTTAATTTTATGCAATTTTTTTTTGTGAGAAATCTTTTCCCTTCATAAGGAATTCAAACCAAATTTTTATACAGAGCCCCGCCAAGGCCGCTACGCTTCTGACTAATGTACAATAAATAATACAATAACTACACCCGTATGTTCATTACCTAGATACTACAGGAACCAAATAAATTAAGTAGCGGTATATAACGCTACAGTATTTTTTATGTACCTGAAATGTTGCAAAAGCTGATATCCCACTTGACGGAGAGTCCTATCCGTCTTCCTCATGAATGTCGTTCGTTCGTGATGAAGGCGAATCGTAAAAAAATAAGAAAAGTTATCAGAAAAATAAAAACAATTTTTAGAGGAGTTTAGTTATAAACACTGTGACACGAGATTTTTATATATTAGATTAGGATTTTCATTAATAGCTGGACTTTTCAGTACTCAAGGCACTGGATTCTCTTTGACGTGGTACGCAATAGAACTGCCTGGATGTCCTACACAGACCTTCACTTCTAAAGAGGGAGTACTACACAGCCCGAACTATCCTCACTTCCTGCTGCCTGACTTGGATTGTACTATCGACATCCTTGCCCCTACTGGTAAGATTTAAAGAGCAAATAATGTTTTATGAGTTGTTTTTAAAAAAATATTATGGCAAACAAAACTTAGGACTCACCTGGTAGTAAAGTGGTAATATCGCCTATATAGATGAATCAAATCAAATACAAAATGTCATTATTCATGTAGGTCTATTCCAGACTCTTATATCTCAAATCTACATCAGTTCGGAGTGCTTTCGAACTTAAAAGAGCTGACAAGAAACTCAGATCTTATTCCTTTCAAATAAACTTGTACGTGATTACAAAAATACGAATTCATTTTTAAATTCAAATAGGAAGAATGTAGTGAACCAGCATATGCTATTGCATTTTTGTCAAAAGAAAATAATCAATGGCCGTAATCCGAAGAGCATGCTGTCATCATATCACTTTACTGCCTCTCAATCTATTGCTACCTCCTCCGGATCCTAAGATGTTATGCTAGGGTGCCACCCATATCGCAACCCATATCCAAACCCTATAACTAACATTAGTTACAGGGTTTGGAACCCTGTAATCACCATATCTCACCCTCAAACCGAAACACAGCTTACAAAGAATCTGCTTTGAGGCTGGTTGAAAAGACTGACAAACAGAGAACTTTGAACAAAATCTACAGCTAATAATAATAATAACTCATTAATAAACATTATTACTATAATTTTGGGAATGTAAGCCAAACTAACCTGTACAATGCCTTTTTAATAGTACAATGGTGGCAAACAAATATACGGCCCATTTAGTGGTATAAGGTTATAGTAGCCTATGGACGCCTGAAAAAACAGGGGTATCAGGTGCATTGCCGACCCTTAAAAAACCTTAATATACTCTCCTTGAAAAACCTCGCCTGTCAGTTCCTTATATAGCTCAGGTTATTAAACCAAAAAGTATTACGCCTTTCTTTAATCATTTCTATTCCACTTTCCAGGGAAACGCGTCTTTCTCAACATAAGCCATTTCGACTTCGGCTATGGAACTTTTGAAAAAGGCGTTCCCATAAATGTGACGGACGCAATACCAGAAGAGTCCTTTCTAGAAGTCCAAGTGAATCCACAGACAGTGCCCATCCGTCCATTTGTAAGCTCAGGAATTTTGACCAATGGACTATTTGTATCTCAGGCTGAAATACTCCGAATCAGATTAAGAACAGGAGAGAATGTGACGGGAGCTGGATTTCTTGCGCATTTCAAAAGCGGTGAGTAGTCTTTCAAGAGCTATACATATTAGATTTGGTTTTGATTTTGGGAAATAATTTGTTAACATCAATGTAAGTTTAGAATACATCATTGCATCATTTTTTAATATCTATATCAACTAATACTGTACCAATGACTTAGAAATGGAGCTTGGACTACAGCATGGAGTTTTTTAAGAAGGGAATATAAATACCCTTCTTGATAAACTCCATGCTGCAGTTTCTCGAGAAAATTCGGCAATTCCACAATCTAAGTGTACGGGAGGAAGCTCCTCTGAAATCACACTATCCGAGACCACTTAGGTTCTAGCGTGTGGAGATGGTGAACTTTAAACAATGGTGTGGTCTTTCGCGGACCCACATGGGTCGCCTCCTTACCCGGGCATACTTGAATGATGGAGTTCTTTCTACTGTTCTTCTGAATGATGGAGTGTACGTCAAGTTGATGTGTGGACAGTGAGGTACCTGAACGTGAGCCACGTGGTGTCTGTGGGCGCTGGTGCGGCGGGCCGCGTGGCGGCGCCCAACTGGCCGGCGGCGGGTCCCCCCCGCGCTCGCCTCGCCGCCCGCCTGCTGGCGCCGCACGGACACGCGCTCGCGCTAGCTTTGGCACGCGCCGTCCCCGCGTCTCCCGCAGCTCCCCCTGAGGCGCCTTGCGGCGACAACAACGGCTGGATCGAGGTATGCATAACCACAGTGCCGTACAAATCATTGTGTGTCCCGCGGAGACCACGCGTCCAACGCAGCGACCCTGCGGCAATTGCAACGGCTGGATCGAGGTAAAATACACCCTAGCACAAATTAGTTTAGTAACACATTCTAAGAGGCTTGTAACCTCGTTATCCGGGAGTTGTTGCTCCCGGAATCGATGATGGGACTAAAGTACATGCCCTGGGAAACGACAACGATAAGAGAAGCGTTTATACAACACCATCTATTGTTTGAATAATGAATGAATTAATAAAATTGTAGGTTTGAAAATTGAAAAGTTACAAAATTATTATTGACCTTTTCCTTCTTTAGACTATATGTTGTACACGCATTTAATAACCTATTCTGTAAATATTACATTGGAATCGTCCAATCATTTATACTTAAAACCTCAACACACAAACTGACAATTATAGTCATGACTTCACGATTTTACTTTGCTTAAAGAAAGTGGTTGTTTACAATTATTATTACAATTTTATAATTACCACCTATAATATAAAATGAATATCATATCCACAGGTGAAAGACAGTTATACAGACAATAATGGCACCGAATGGATCCTCTGCGAAGTAGAGCGAAGCAAGCGCAAGATGGAACCGAGCGCGCCCCTCGTCATTAACTCGTATCTGCACTCGCTGATTGTAACCCAATACTCAGGAGAACAAGGACTGAATGTCGATATTTCACTGGTGGTCAACAAAGGTAGTCCAGTTAAAAAGCTTTCAACTTTATGATAGAATTAGACCATTGGTCCAACTCTCTTTCCTTTTCTGACAAATACTGTTTAATATAAATATGATAAGAACACTACGACTTTTCTAAGAATATTCTTTCCTCTTCTCGAATGTATTTGCTAATGCTCTTTCAGTTTGGTGATTTTAACAAAAATATGCATTTTATGGCAACTATACTAATTCTTTTTTTCAACAAACAGATAAATGAACTAGATCTTGCCTTGTCATTAGATCCTGAATATCACAACAAATTGCTATTGCTCGCTGACGAAACGAGCGTGGAGGCCTGTTACCCGAATCCCTGTGTTAATGGTATATGCGCATCTGATGATACGAGAAATTTCTGCGAGTGCACCGGATACTACACCGGTAAATGTTTCTCTTTTTATTAGTAAAATTTTGTATTTTAGTAGTTTCACAAATATCATTACTCCATTAAAACTTTAGAATGATATAAGAAGTGATTGGAGCGCAACAGGTCTAAAGGAAGAAAACATAAAATAAATCATTAGGTATTCCAGCAAGTTTCCTAACTATAATTTTATCAATATTCTTGGACTCAATAAGATTCGGAATTTGGTCACCAATAGAGAAGATTACAATGCTTCCAATGGAGATGGTCAGGTTTCCGCATTGAATATTAGTGTAAGACCACAATTATTCAATATGGGTGTAAATTCAATAACGATCTAAGTTTGATCGCTAATAGGGAAGGTCAATGGCTGAAACCTGAGTTTTTGCACTGAATATTTGTGGTCACATGCTAATGATAGCAGAATTAAATAAAATTATATAAATCCAACGTGTTCTGAAAAATATATTTTGAAAGAGTATCTATTAAATATAATTACTTATGTTGTCATTATTTGTTTGTATTTCCTTTGTTTTGGTTCCATTCCCTGGCATCGGCCTCCGGAGAACAAATGGTATATACGTAAGAAGCTTTAAGCAATAAAATATCTTTTAGGCCAATTTGAGTTACGTGATGAAATAAATGTAATTGTTGTGCGCGGTGGTCGCAGGCGCGTTCTGCACGCTGACGGCGTGCGAGCGGTCGCCGTGCGCGTTCGGCAACTGCTCGGTGGTGGCGGGCGCGGAGCGGTTCGTGTGCGCGTGCGCGCGCGGCTGGCGCGGCCGGCGCTGCGCCGAGCGCGTGCGGCCCTGCGCCGCGCGGCCCTGCAACAACCGCGGCGCCTGCAGCGAGCGCGACGGCGGCTTCCTCTGCCAGTGCAACCCCTCCTGGAAGGGCAAGAGGTACCCGCTCTCTCCGCACGTCGACTCTCGCAAACCGAATACGACTATTGCAAACCGATTAGTAGAGGCACCTTTACACGACACGTTCTTTTAGTAATGGAGACTAATAGACTTATTGACAGCGATGTTAGGTCGACTCCATGTGGTTCATCGTTGTTGTTATTTCCTAATGATATTTCGCTTTAAGCTAATTAACCTGACTTTATGAGTTCACATAATCATCCTCTACAAGGTTCCCGCCAAAGTATATTGTAACAGGCGGGTGCACCATCACCTTATTTAAAGTAATTAATGTCTTTATCAGTTTATACATTATCTATGTTTGCATTTAATATATGTATTTGCACAATCTTTTCCCCAGATGCGAAACCCCAAATCCAACTCCAAACATCGTAGGGCTTGGAACACGAATGCTTCAAGAACCTTTCTGGTTAGGGCTGATCACAGTCTTTGTTGTACTCGGCATGATCGGCCTCATCTGGTGTGCCAAGCGACACTTTCCAGAAAAGATCGAGAAACTTCTAGCGGAAGAAGCCGATCGCTGCGCAAGACGTGAGTCCACCAATGTTATCATAGACAGCAAACCTTTAGGCTTATCCCGAAAAGTAAAAGTAACTTGCTCTACCAATCCGTTTGTTTGGAACTATAATTATATCAGCACTCTAAGCGAGCTTGTCACGATCACGTATCTAAATACACGATTTCTATAATAGCTCAATGAAGAAAATAACCTTGTATTTGTATTATAACTTTGTAAATTCACAGTAACGTTACGCTTTCTTCCATAATATGTTTACCTGTGTCAGAATTTTCTGCTATATACTCATATATTTTCTCAATAAACGCACTGTCTTTGGGATGGTAAGGACACGTTTTGCGTATTTATATACTTTTTTCTCTAAATGTTTTTATATGTTTTCCAACGAGTTCAGAAACGATGTCGATATTAGCTTGTTGTTTTTTACCGTTCGAGTTCTGCATGTATATAGCTTAGACATTTATCTCATAGGAGCATCTCTAGTTTCTGAACTACGTACAGTGCACAATTCTTTTAACTCGGTTCCGAGAGGTATCTACAAAATTGTTTCGCTCATACAACATTATGGTTAGGTTACCGCAAAATTAGTCAATTCAATGTTGCAGATCGTTGTATAAAATTGGCTCAGTAGGCGTTACAAGTAAGTCCAAGTTAAAGTAATTGTGTAATATATGACAAAAGGGACTGTCAGAGACGCCTGGACATGCTCGTAGTGATTATATAGTAAATAACCTTTAATTGTTTGTGTATTTTTCGTAATCGTCGTAAAATTGAGCTCGTCGAATGTCCCGGTGTTAAAAAATCTGGCAATCCTGTGTGTGTGGGGGCTAGCGACGCGGGCCGGGCGGCAGCGGTACGCCGCCGTGCCGCAGGCGGAGCGCTAGCGGCGGCGCTAGAGGCGGCGGCGGACGCGGACGAGCCGCGGCGGGCCCGCAGCGTTGACGCGGCGTTTGTCCACAGCGGCGGCGCTGCGCGGCGGCGGCGAGGCGGCGCCGCACCGCACGCTGCTCACGCGGCTGGGTATCCGCAAGCCGTCGGTGTCGGGGCTCGCGGCGCACCCGCGAGCCGCGCGCACCTTTAGCTTGGACGATCTGTTAAAGCCGCCGCCCGGACGTAAGGAGTGGAGCGATCACGGCGCACGCCGCCCGACCGGATGTCGCACCGGACCGCGCCCTTCGCACCGACGCGCGCGTCACATCTCCCATTCATTATTATCATTCTATTTATTTCGATGGTTCTCGTTTACATATCTTTATATTGTTATTGATATTTTCATCTTTATATTATTCATCTTCCATATCCACGTTTATATGTATATGTATACTATAAAGATAGTTTCATATCGAGAGTAGATTGCGAAAATATTTTATTTCATCCTTTTTAGATGCCATAACATTATTTTTATACGATACGATATATTCATCGTCATAATGTTTACAGCTTTAAATTGAATCATTATAAGTATTATATTACTTTGCAAATATATCAAACGATTCGTAAACATGTTCATTTGCGTGTGCGAAGCGCGCGGCACCCGACCGACAATTAGCACTGGATGTGTCCCGCTACTGAATGACACTCGATGTGGAATGCTACCTAACCACCGATCACCAAACAAATCGGTCTTGCTATTTCTTTCTTCAACGTCAATGTGTGCACCCTTGACTATGCACAGTGCATCTCGATGTAGCCGCTCCTTCCTTCGTTTACACCTTTTTAGATCGTCCAACTATTTATATTTCAGTTTTTACACTGTTGACAAAATTTTAAATCTTATCAATATTCATTTAATTTATATTGTCTATAGAACAACAACAGTTTAAAGGCTGGAACACTATCTCTCTAATACATGCTTCAGCATGATGATTAGAACATTGTTCTGCATTTACTTTTTAAACTTTTATTAACAAGTAATAATTTTTATAATCGAAATAAAATATATTATATTACAGAATGTACTTTTTGGCAGAACACTGTCCTTTGCTTAGCTAAACGATGTAGTTGTTATTCAAAACTGTTTAATATTAAAAGCTTCTTCTTCTGCTTGATGATGTTTTCTAATATTCTTATTTAATTTATCAACTTTTGAAACATTGACATTTAAAACAACTTCGACAAACCGAGATTTGTACGTACACCAGTCTGGTTGTTTATTGGCACATTTTAACTAAATTCTCAATGTTTTACATAAAGTCTGGCACTTCTAAAGCATTGGCTTACTTTAGCTTTACTATGACCTGAGCATGAATAAAATTTCTTGGTGTTCTCAACAATTTATTATACCTGTTTCAAGAAATGTTTTCTGAATATTGTGTAGCTTTTGTCATGAATGGATTTGATGTTGTAATAAAACGCTTCCATAGACCAATATGGGCTAGTAATAATTTGTACATGTTAGATATTTTTAACAGGAACACCTTCACCACGGAAAAAACGCAACAATTCCACACCAACAAAAAAGAATGCCGCCGAAAAAAAACAAATATTGCAACAACTCATAAGTCCTGCTACCGCGAACGACCATTCGAAAAAGATCACAATGGGGGAACTTATACAGATGTCCGAGAAAAGAACACTGAGTACAGTGGAAAGCGCTCCAGCTTTTGTGGATTATGGTGACAACAAAGAGACATCTTTCGCTAGTGAAGCATCTACGCCTTCCACTTCACCTTCAATGAGACACATATCAGATCCTAAATTAGAAAAGAAGGTCACTTTTGCTAGACTTCTCAACAAAGTTTCAGCAGAAATGAGTTCTAGTTCTGATGTAGACATGGTCAATACTATAGCAATACCAATGGCCGTAATTGCCGATAGGAGTTTAAAAGTAAAGGCGTCCAGCACTCCCCCGTCTCCAGGGGTTGAAGTCCGATCGCCTCACAGTACTTCTAGTAACCAAGGAAGTGATTCAATGTCCAGTCTTGACCTAACGTTGGCACATACCGCTTTAAGAAAATATTCCAGGTATATTTAATCAATTCTTGTATTTATATATTTTGTACAGTTAAAACATCATTTCCATAATTAGTTCTAATGAACTATCTAATATCTCATTTCTAACTATTTTGCTTCGCAGACAACCAAAAATATCAAGTGCTGATTCGATTTTAGCTATGTTCCGTAACTTCTCATCGTCATCAGCAGCCATAGTATCTCGAGCATCATCTGGTGGAGTATCAGCTTCTAGCACTCCATCGGCCTCGTCGCCTCAAGATGACACCGCAGACGCGGATGATATTTCTTTAGCTTCCTCTCATATACCATCTCTCGCACCAGATTCACCGGTTACAAGGCCTCATAATACTATTGAAATACAGGTAATTTAATAATTTTGAAAAAAAATTTTTGTTTGTGTCTATTTTAAAATTTACATAATATTTTTTTGTGTCAGGTTCTAGATCCACTTAGTGCTCATAAGTCATCTTCTTCTGGTAGTAATCTTCTTCACCCACCGTCTATTCTACTGGAAGTTCCGAGTGGTATCAATAAATGTCTATCACCTATTCGAGAGTTACCTACTCCATTGCCAACTCCTCTCCCTACTCCGATGCCCACGCCACTCCCTTCTCCACGTATGCCACGAGCAAACATGGAACAAGATACAAAAAGTGAATCGACTACTACGTGTGTATCACCAAGTGAAGATGAACTAGATGAGATTAGATATGAGTCGAAACCTGAAAGATCTATTAGTGGATTGAGATTAAGGGTGAGTCAATGCTGATAAAGAACTAGCAATTTTTAATCATAGTACTGACTTTTCATTTTTGTTTTCAGTTACGTCAGCCGGCTACGAGTACAGACACCCCAACACCATCAACTCTAGTAACAGATTCGCCAAGTCCCAGTTTTACTCAAAGTCAAGACTCGGAACGGGAAATGTCATCTCCATCTCCTGCACCTCCTGCTTTAAGAGTTCCAGTTCTCACCATAGAACGCGCTTCCCCCGGATCTCCTCCACCTAGACGAACGCCTCCTCATATAGAATTCCAACCTCCACCATTAATAACAGTTACATATAATGCAAGCGAAGAATCTGATGAGCCAATGTCACCTAGACCTCCACAACCAAGTGGAAATATGTGTTATTTAAGTCCTTTCTCAATGTCCGCACGAGGAGAAAGGGCTCCTTCAGAATCCAACTTATCCTCCTCTGGCTATAGTTCCATGGCCAGTCCAGGTCCATCAAGATGTGGCTCTAGTAATCCTCTGTGCCCTTCTGAAATGGAAGACCCAGGGTCTGGAGGAGGCCCTTCTTGTTTTCAGTCGAGACGACGACCATTAATGAAAACTAATTCAGGTCCTGCAGCATCTAATGATGATGCAAAAGACAGGAGACGGGGTCGGTCTGATTCGGAAACTCTTTCAGATGATCCTTTATTAGAATCCAACGATGAAGGTATAGGGACCGATGAAAGGGTAGACGATGTTCCATCAAGTGCCAAAGAATTGGAAACAATGGTTGTATTAAAAGAAACATTAGAATTGCCTCAAACAACATTGTGCTCGCCTAGTGGAGTGACTAAATGTTCCATAGTAAAATGTATCAGTGTCGAGAGAGGATTGGATGAAAAAGCTTGCCTGCGACCTCCCACATTGCTTTCGGATTGCAGTCGACCTTTAAGTCCGGTGAGTTCGAGAAGTGAAAGTCCTCTCAGTGACAAAACTGGACTGGGGAGATTTTCACCACAATTTTATGGTCGACAGCTCCCTTTTACGGATTCCGATGGCCTATACGACTTCCCTAGCTCAGAGTGTGTCCGAGGAAATGCCTGCAAATCGTCGAATAATGCTCAGAAGAAGGTTGGAAGGAAGAGAGACAGAAGAACGACGCGCACTGCATCCCATGAAGTAACGGGTACAACCAAATCGTCACTACCACATATGCCACATTCTATGCACAATTTATTAGAGGCAAGTTAACATTTTGATCTATTTTACGATTTACACGAAGCCTGGCCAACGCATAAAAATATTCATCAGTTGTCTACAATTCTAAATGTTTTTTTAAAAGTACTCTTATAGCAAACACGTTTGTTTACTATACAATAAAATTCTTACGAAAAATTAAAATTTTCTAAAACAAAAGGCCAATTTGTAAAATTTTAGTGGCATATGTATGTGATTGATTATATAATTAGAGTTCACCAAAAGTATAAAGTTTTTGAGTTTTAATTGTTCTTACAAATAAGAAAATTACACAAAGTCCACTAATTACCACTAATTACATAAGGAATCTTAACAACTTTACAAACTTTGTTTTGTATAACTAAAATACTAAACTAAACTGACTAGACCCACCTAATGATAAGTGGCGATCGTAGGTTAAGTACATGAAAATCACTACGGTCATCTTATGTCATATTGTATTGACCGTGGTTCCCCATGCTATTGTATATGACTAAGATGATATAATGTCAAGCTCACAAAGAATGCTGCTACACTATTCTAGACTAGACAGCTTCCAGCTGTCTGCTATTTCAATCGCAATCGAAGAATGCTATTTGGCGATTGAAATAGTTTAGCTATTCCAATCGCCAAGTAGCATTCTTCGAGGTACCACCGCCAAGAACTTTGTACAAAGTTTACGTTTGGCAGGTGCCAGGATGTCGTGATGCGAGTGCACGAGGGCGCAAAGGTGGGCGAAGGCGATCTCGCTCACAGGCTCCAGCGCCCGCCTCGTCCTCCTCATCTGAAGACTCGGTGTCCAACGCCTCCGTTGCTTCAGTGGCATCAGCAAGGGAACTCCGCCTACCCGACTTAGATATGCAGGTATTTATTTGAGTGTTATTTTGTGCATAATTACCATTCCTGCTTCTAAAGATAATTCTCATTTCCAAATAATATAAATATCTCTTCCAAAAACTTCTCTGAAGGTGGAGCTAGACTTAAAGAATAAATATTAAATAATGTGAATTTGCAACGAAATAATACTCAATATTTTCAAAGTGATATCTTTGAAAATATTCCTTATAACGCACTTATAAATTATTGACCACAGTTTGATTAGATCTTATACACGTGAAACGCGAAATTATTCGCGAATAAGAATAAAGAAATCTCCTATCAAAAATTTATACTAAACAAAAATTGATAGAGCGTGAAAAAACGCTGACAGACATAGTCTAAGTCCGCCTTTATAAGAAACAAAAGATTGTTCTTACCAATTTGACTGTACGGAAAACACTGTCACTGAATACTAATGTTTACTTTTGCACTGTTCAATATTATTTGCATTGTACACTTGCCGTCTTATATTTTGTGCTTATTCTCTATGGTTTGGCTAGGTGTAGACTATATTATTATTTTCAGCATTGTGAGCCGACTCGTTTGCGGAAACCACTCAGAAGACAAAAATGCCGTAGCTCAGAGGTGATTCATTGTTGTTGAGGAAATCATGATTTTAGCTACGTTCTCTGTATGTCTACGTTGTACAGGATTACAAATCCATTTAAAATATCTATCATTATTCATCTATCTATATTTATATCATTTTTAGCACAGTAATCAACGAAGCTAAAAAAATATGATGAATACGGTGTTCTTACGATATCTAGTTTTAATATATCTAGTCACTGATTGATAAATATCTAAGTAATTAACTTTTTTTGCTTTAGTACTTGAAGATAGATTGATCAGCCACAGTATGCAGTGATGTGAAAATATTCAACGGATACGATTTTAATAAACTACAGATAATAATAGAAAATAAAGAAAAAATTGTGTAATTCATATGTATAGTTGTCTTAACTTAAATTTAATATATAGTTTTTAATGCATAGTATATATATATAGTATAATAAATGAGACACCGTTAGATGTTTGAACGAATATATCTCAGATCTCGTAACGAAAACCATATTTTCCACAATAACATAACGTTTTAAATATTAAATTAACAATATTCCAAATAAAAGTGCCTAACTATACATTGAAAACATTTAACTAACTATACATTTCGGCGCGTGAAAATTCTGTTCTTTAGCACTTTTTTAATATTTATAATATGTGCCATTAGTAGCCTAAAATAAATAAATACATCACGAATCAAACTCTAATATTAAGTTGTTTATATACAATATCATATTCTAACGTACTGGTCACACCAAAATATGAACTGTTGGAAATGTAATTCTGTACATACTGTATATTCAATGCTAGCATATCGTTTTATCATCTTGATATGGCTACATGTATACCTTTACATCACTAGATAGTCGATATACTACTAATGTGTAGATATATAGATTTTATGTGTATATATAAATCATTACTCATATACATTTAGATATGTTCCAGTGGTACCATCGAATGTTGATTTTTCCGTAGCCTATTTATATCGTAGTTCAGAGGAATGTTCATCTGTAACTTTAAGTTAGGTTGTTGGAGATTAGAACGAGTTCCCACCAGTAGATATATATGTATATTAGACTTATATGTTATATATATACAATGGTTTAAGCTATGAATATTATGAGATCAATTTTAGATATTGAACTATTATATGTTGTCCTCTTCATTCTAGCGATTTTATAATTTGAAAGAATGTGACAAAAGACACTAGGAAATAGTTAATAATGAAAGGACAATTGTTAAATATTACACGTTTTTAACGGTCACAGATTATAAAAAGAAATTATATTATAGGCACTGTCGCGTGTCGGTATTTTGTTTTTTAAAATACATAAATGCTTGAATGAATATTATAGCTTAAAGTATCAACATATAGCTATGTATCTTACCATGAAATTGATCCTACTTATTGCTAACTTATCAAATATTAAACCAAAAAACGTAATCTTCTAGAGATAATTGTAAAGATATGTAGTAACTACTTACCTGTGGTTTGTTTCCGTTATGTTACATTGTGTGATGGATAAATACATAAATTCATAATCTGTTCATGTGCAGTCCTATTATTATGAACTTAAATATTATTTATTTAAGTTCATCTAAGTTCAATTATAGGTACATGACTATTACATCTAACTATATAATTAGTTACACAGTTTAATACAAACATCATTTTGTTTTAAGTGACGCAAGCCTGGTCCCCTCCGATCGATCCCCCGTCTAATTCAAACGAGGACCGATGTTACGACGGCCTGAGCCGAGGTTCGAACCCCTAGCGATGCCCTCAGACTAAAGTTTTATCTGTCAGGCGGGAGTTGGCCTTCAGCAGCTCCATAAGTCCTTCCGCGGGTTTGGAGTGCCATCTGCACTCGCCCCCTATCGTCCGGTGAAGCTGTAAAGGCCAGCTGCAGTCAACAGCATTAGAGTAGTCGAAAAAAGAAAACACGCAAGCCTACAATTATGTGATTACTTGCCCAATGCTACGTAAATTCTACTATACTTTGTTTTTTTTAAAGAGAATTTTTTATTTCTTGTTTGTCGTTGTTTTTTTCTAGTGTAATGTGGCACATCGGAAACAAACTGAGGTGCTATCGATATCAGTATGTACTTAGATTTAGAAGCATGGTATATATATATATATATGTATATCCCAATGTAATTTAATTCTAAACCTATATGAAACCTTATGACTCCAAGCCAATTGTATTGATTTAGCGGTGTATATGTGTATTTTTCGAGGTTGACACCTGATACATTTTCTTTTTAAAATAAATATATATTCAGATGTTTAATCTTCAAAATAACCCATATTGCAATTACTTAACACTGACTTTACGAATTGAGCAATTGAGAGAAAATAGTTTTTTTTTTATTCAAATAATAAACCACTTCAAATTAAATAATCATTAACACTAACGCATAGTCATTTTGTTTTTTAAACACTCTAATAATTCAAGAGAAAAGCTATTATTTACAAGAAATGACAATATTAGATAAAAGCATTTTAATTTATGACATTATTAATATAATTCTTTGTCACAAAAGAAAATTGCTTCACAAATATACCGCTCTGCTATCCATATACAATTTACTGTGACAAGGTTTCAATAAGTTTAAAATCAAATATCCGCGACTCCAATTAAGTACATTTAGTTAATTGGTATAAATCCAAATTTCAGGACACGTCGTCGAAAATCTCGTCGAGTTTGGACCTCACCGAAGACTCCAGGAAACCGGTTAAGATAAATAAATTAAGGACTATAAGTAATCAGATAAGGTAATTATAATTATATAATAATAAAATAAATAAGTACTGAAGTTGATACAACATTCAAATACAAATTCAAAATATCTTTATTCACGTAGGTCTATTACAGACTCTTATTATATGTCAAATCTACCGTCAGTTCGGAATGATTTCGAGATGAGAAGAACTGACAAGAAATTCAGCTCGTATTCTATTGACGGCCTCGGTGGTCTAACAGTTAGATGTAAGACTACTACTAATGGTTGCAGGTTCGATTGCTGCTGGTTACAGACAAACTCATTGCTCTTCGTGTATATCAGCAATTGCTACTTTCCCCATAGTAGGCCGTAGGTTCGTTTGCAATTTCAGTTAAATAAAATCTTTACATAGTGAAAAATTAAGTTGCTTCCGCTGTTTGTTCGCTTAGATCTTTTAAACTATGGAATGAATTTTAACGCAAGATTTAGCATTAGATAGAGTGATTCAAGAGGAAGGTATATATGTATAACTAACCACTCGTTCCCGGCTTCGCCCAAGTGTACATGTATTATACATATAAACCTTCCTCTTGAATCACTCTATCTATGGAAAAAAACCGCTTCAAAATCCATTGCGTAGTTTTAAAGATTTAAGCATACATAGGGTCGGACAGCGACAGCGACTTTGTTTTATACTATGCAATGATACTTGTACGGCCGTGCAAAGGGGCGGATAGCTATTATAAATATAAATTAGAATTATTATAACAATACTTATATCAATTTATAAATTCTACACAAACACACATTTTCTGATATTTGCATTACCAGGTTCCTGCGACGCCTAGAACGAAGTTTGAAAATGAAGGAGAGCTACCCAGCGTTGTCTGATGATGAAGGTGATGAATCTTCGAGTGTCACCTCACCACTACTCCAGGGAAGGAAAGACCTAAAAAACCGAGTGCCGACCCACGCAATATCCGCCCCTCTACTAGGTGCTGTAAGGCCGAAAATCACTAGACAGAGACGTTACGACAGATCACTTCTAAGTGAAGACACGAGAACTTTGAACACATTAGTTGGACATGATAATTCTGATTGAAAATAATTTTTTATTAAGTGAAAAATGAATTAAATCTAAAGTTATATCTACATTGAAATCGTTACTAGCGATTATGATCGAATTTGTAATTACATTACACATATTACAGTTTGATTGACATTAAAAGTTACTAATTAAAAACTGATTTAATGAATTAGTTATTCTAAAATTAAAACATCTGGTGATGAAGTTAAATATCGTTAATCATGCATTAAAGATACGTTACTATCGAGTCGTGATAATTGTAGATATGATTCGTAAAAGAGGTCACTGCCGATTTATCCTAAATAATGATTAAAAAACGTATAAACGTTCGCATTAGAAACCGAACTCTGAATCGTAACGATTTACAGCGATTCGTCCTGCCTAAAGGATTCAGTTTTGCGGATGTATTCGAAATTTTTACGATTAGCGGACGCGTGAGTACGGTTATAGGTAAAATAACGATTCGTCGATGTGTTAATGAAGCCTTAGGTGTAATCGATTCGATAGATAGAAAATTCTAGATATGATTTAAATCGTAAATTGACTAGGTACCAATATCCGCCGTTTGATTTAATTAGCTAAGCAGTTGTCATGTTGTTAATAGTGCACCCTATAATATACGTCTCAAAGATGAAAGTCCTTTGGCACAGATATGTACTTAAGACTTACGGAAACACTGTCATTTCTTTAACACGAGATGTTGCAGTGAAGTAACAAATATAGGTTTAATTAATAGTTCCCACACTTTGACAGCTGTCACGTTATCGTTAAGTAATTATACAAGATTCTAATCTAATGTGATATGACATAATATAAGGTACATAAGACCATAAGAACGTTGGTTTTTAATAGAAGTTGGTGTTGTTTAGATATAGTATGTATATGCATAACCTGAGTGTTTTTATTTCTTTAATTTCACTTTTGATGTCTCGAAATAACTATTACGTAAGCTTAACCTGTACATATAATTTCTAATAGCAATAACTTGTATGTAGTGAAGTATATTTTACTGTAGCTAACGTATGTTAGTAGGTAAGTAAAAGGTTAGACCACATCATTTGTGGCAGTATTTATTTAATTTGTTGTTTATTTAAATTTTCATTACCTTCCATTTGTAATATTTCCCTTTGCAATAGGCACGTGTCTAAATATTATTTTGCCTTAAATTTACTTTAACATTATGTAAATATGCTTTATTACGTATTATGTAAATATAATTAACGTATTGCTCAAATGCATATTTTGTGAAATCGTTTTTTGCGCACTTTTTGCTATTTTGTAAATATAATCGATTACTGTAAATAATGGAACTCGAGAGAGACTCCTTTTTCGTGAAAATGTTAAGAATAATTAAATGTAAATGTTTTATGTGTAAGAATAAAAACAAAATGAAAGGCCCAAAAAAATCGGTATACCAAATGCACAATTATTACTTATATACAATCATATATATGAATTTAAGCACCCATATATTAAGATATATCTACGTATATTAAACAATATTATCTTATTATACCTGACGCACCAATAGAATAGTTTCTGCAGCATCGTTTAGATTAAACCGTATTTTAAATAATCCTTGTAGTGTTAATCGGGTTGTTTGTCAGTGTAAAATGTGCCCTATTTCTCTTGTTTCAAGTTAAAAGTTTCCGTGCACGTTATATCTATGATAAAAAGGCCACACTCCTCATCAAATTCCTACATTCACTTTTCATTAGACGCTATTATTTTTCATTCATGCAAGTTTTATAATTATAATTACTATTACACGTGGATCTTCTCATTATTGAGTCGCATTTTAGAATTTAAAATCAACACCCTAATTACTTAATTCGAATTTAAAATTTTCTTCTTTAACGTTTTCTTTCATTGTTCTCAAAGTTACCATAGATCATATAATTTGATAGACTAGGTAAATCTCTCTAGTAATTTCAGAATACAATACAAACAATTAGAATTTAAAAAATACAATTTATTGTTATACAAATTCCATTAAAAATCATTTAGTTATAAACATGTAACGCATCCAGCAATAATTTTATGTGATTCGACTGTTCAAAGACTGACGTTAACTTTGTGTGCACGAACCAAACGTAGTCGCTTCTGTTTTATTTCTGTATTATATTATCGTCGTACATGCATATTGTATCTTTAGATTAAGCCAATGTATCGATGTTAACTTCTTATTTGTCACGTGAAATTTACATATTAATATTCCACGATTAAATTATAAAAATGTACTCAAGTAACGGACACTTTATAAAAAGTGCAACATTACGATTTGTCTACAACATTTTAGTTTATCAGTATTTTGTAAGGTGAACGTCCATTCTGAACACAAATATCCTGTAGGATATTCTATAAAAAAACGTTAAACATAGTTAAAAACTTATTGACAAAATCGTCGAACCTCTAATAAATTGTAATGAACTGTATTGTTATCCTTTTCTTTCTAGTCACTTTCTAATTAAGAGAGACAGTGACGTCAGTGAGTTTATCAATAAGTGTGTACATAGCGCGGGAAAATGGACGTTCACTTAAAAACACCACTATTCTAAGCAATTATTGTATGTTATATAATAATAATAACTCTGAATTTATTTATCTGGGCTGTCCTAGGCCATATATTTATATATTACGATATACTAGTATATTATCCTGCCGTTATCTTGTATTCATTGCTTAAGACGCGTCGGTATATAATAGTGTAATTTGATAAATTATGGAAAAACAATGGCCTGTTCATTGAGACTGATTTTCTAAAACTTAACTCTTAAAATGTTGCTTAATACGTTTCTTGCTCGATCGATGTATCTCACGTGTTAGGTATCTTGTTATATAGGCGTTACTTCCAATCGGAGGCTTGATTATGTTGTTATGTTATATAGTCAAAGAATTGTAGTCAAACTAATTATAAGTATACAGGTATAAACTTCGATTTTGTATTAAAAATCGAAGTTAATTTTCTATTACCAAGATTCCTGGTTGGTATACTATTTACAACTACAAATAAATAACTACAAAATAATTTAAACATATGACCGACATTGTAGTTTTTTTTTATTCAGTTTAAGGGAAGGCAAAGGGAACTATGCCCATACAGCCATTGGACATTGTAGACGTTTGACAATGACGTTTTACATTTGACAGTTATTTTTGCGGGATGCCAGTTTTGAAGATTACACTATACCCTAACTAAGCTAGAATGTTATGACGATAAAACCATATTTTACATGTTAATTCTAGAGCATTTGTTACAAACCAATTTTCAGATTGCAACACCAAAATTGTAGTTCTACTTACTACTGTAACAATTTCAGTTTATCTTTACATAGTTTAAAATGAAATAAATCCGCTGACAAACAGTTTGCTTAGATTTTTTAAATTTCCCGATGGATTTTATTTCACGTCGTCAGGACGGATGTCATTAGCAATAGATAAAGTGATTTAAAATGAAGCTTTATATGTATAATACATGTATTCCCGCGCAAAACCGTGGCGGATAGCTAGTTTAAAATAAAATGCTATTGTACTGTGATACATAATCAAGCCTCTGTGCTTTACTACCTTCTAAAATATCAGTCTGTATGTACTTTGAAAAAAAATTATCTATAGCAATGGATGCTTACGCAATTGTCTTCAGTTCTGATGAATAAATACTAAACTATTATTTACAAAGAGGAAGTGAGGCGGATCACATTTAAACAAATTTATATAAAAAAAAATATCCAATACTTTTGTCACAATATATGTATATATTTATTTATCGGTGCATATTCCATTTAGAAAATTATAAGATGTGTTAAAATACTGAAGTTTTAGTACTCTAGATTAGATTACTTTTAAAATTACTATTATTAATTTTGTCAAGTGTTTCTGTTTTTAAAATTCATAATTCTGCCATGTATAAATAATATATAATTAATAATAATTCTGTGGTACTCCCTCTTTGTAAATATGACGTATTTTCACAATGCCCGCAACAAAAGTTAAATATTATTAGAGGACTACATATTTACATACAGAGTGAAAGCTTAAGCACTGCCTCAAGTGGTATTAATCAAAGTGAACATTATGAAACATAGTGTGTTCATCCTCTTGTCCCTTGGACTTAAACAGTTATACATACGGACGAAACCTAAATGAATCTATGCCACAATAACGAATGTTCCGTATTGAAAAAAAAAAATACAGATTCATATAAACAAATATTTACTGTTCAAGCCTGCAATCCAGAATGAGCACTGGCTAAACGTATCTATGTAAACAATAGCAAATGTTCCGTGCTGAATAAAAATTGTTACACAGATTCATGTAAAAAATATTTGCTGCACAAGCCTGCAATTGCAATTATCCAGAATGAGCACTGGCTCAACGCTATCACTCTGCATATGCAATTCTCTACGATAATACTATTGAAATGTAAACGGACCGTTTAAAACAAAATTATAAATATAATATTTAAATATTAGAAGCATCGTGAGAGCACAAAATTACGGTAAGCAATACATAAGGACAGTGTACTAATTATGAATGAAATGTAAATTAAATCGAATATAAAACGCTGTGATTGAAGTGTGTGGCTCAATTTCTTAAGCTGAGTTACAATTTTCTTTCTCGTACAAGAATCTACAATATATTGTGTTTAATTTTAATAAATATACGCATAAATAGATGGTACGCTTTGTACAATAACTGTTTATATGTCATGCACATGCAATATAAAAAAATCTGTTGATTCAACGCGCCCGTGTATTTACTGAGAACGGTAGATATAGTGAAACTTGTACTTTGTTTTACTTACTCTTAGCAAGTATAATCAATTTGTACAATATTTAATTGTCTACGCCCTGTTTAAAAAAAACAAATAGTGTTGATTCACTTCGAGATTATCTACACTAAATCTATTGCAAAAAGAATAGTCAATATTTAATTGTCTATGCCCTGTTAAAAAAAAAAGAAATAGTGTTGATTGAATCAGGAATTATCGTCACAAAATCTGTTACAAATAAAAAAACGTTCAGAAATAGCGCTAAAACATCTGAACTGAACTAGTTCAATAACTGAACTCCTAAATATATAACTTGATACAACGCCACTTA